GCCAGCCACAGGAGATGCCAAAAACACCTCTTGGACACTCAGTTTATCATTGCCTAGGGTGAGGGTGAGGGTAAAGGGGAGCCACCTCCCGACTCAACTGCAGTTGCCCAGCTTCCAGTCATTGTGCCCAATTTACCTATCTTGCCCCTTTCAGGTGTGAAAGAAAAGTTCCCCAAAAGAACTCCTGTACCTTGGACTGAACTTCCTGCAAGGCTGACCAACTGATTATCACTCTGGAGACTATGGAGAGTTTGGAATGTTGAGGGTCCAGAGTCTAATTACTATTTATCTCGGGCCATCTTTAACCCCCCAAACAGCCACTCTGTACCCACCTCTGTTTCTGATCTAACATCCTGTGGCTAACAGATAAAAATATTTTAGAATGTATTAACAGCAGACCACCAGGTCTCACCAATTCAAAAGCTAAGAATGTCATCAGATAACCTCTGAGACCTATAGTAAGAACCCTCCTGCTTTCATGAAAACCACCTACTGAATGTATCCACCAATGTATTTGAAAAGTGTCTTGATTTATGACTTTTCTTTGTTCTGTTACTATAAAAATGTAAGGCAACTGTTACCACGCTGGAACATGGAATATGGGTTAACCTGAATCTGTGTTCCCGGGCCATGGTCACTCATATTTGGCTCCAGAATAAACTATCTCTTATCTCTTTTGAGGTGAGAGTTATGCTTTCGTGTCGACACAGGGTTGAGGTGGTGCTTTGGTTGAGTTTATATAAAAAATAAAATTGGTTTCATTAAATTTGGGAAGTTTACAGACATGTTTCTTTAGATATTTTTTCTATTTTTTTCCTCTGTATTCTCTCTGCCACTCTCAACATGTATATATTTATGTGTTTAACAGTCTTCCAAGTCCTCTGAATCTGTTTTTTGTTTTGTTTTCTCTATTCTGATTGCATAATCTAATCTATCATCAAGTTCACTCATTCTTCAGCCATCTCACATCTGTTGAGTTGATTTAATGAACCTTTGTTTTTATTTATTTTTGATTTCCACTCCCAATTTACACTTATTTTTTGTTATAGTATCTATTCATATTTGATGACACACTGTTGCCATGTATTCTTTCCACCTTTAAAGTGTGGATTTCTTTCAATCTTTGAAAGAATTTGTAATAGTTTTTAAGCACAGAAGGAACCCTAGGGGTTGGAAGAAAGCCCTTTCAGAAACAATACGGTTGTTAAATGAAAATCCCAGTGCCAGAGGTGGTTTGCCCCCCCATGAGCTGTTGGCCTAAGGGGCCCTGGAGGTCCTCAAAACAATAAAGGCCATTGACAATAATGTTGGTTGTACACTGGAAGTGGATGGAGGGACCCTTTTGCTGACGACACTGCTTGATATGAGTGCAGGAGAGGGAGAAATCAAACTTGGACTAAGCTGGAAACTCCCTGCCATTGGATGGGTGGCTTTTATGGTGCCAAAAGGCGGTATGTAGATGACTGGGGAAGAATCATCCCCTATAATTCTGCTCAACGACGATGGACCCTGAGTGTTGCACTATCAACACACCAAACAAGATGTTCTTGCTGGTGCAATAGTGGAGCGTCTAGTGTATGTACAACCAGCAAATGTTTGATTGGATATAATGCCTGCTCCTAAGGGTGGAACACACATCTGGTGCTGTAGACCAAACCAACCCCCTGTGGCAGGGGAGAATATAGGTCACAGTGGGAAGTCACTGCAATTGCTTTGTTACATGGATGTGATACACTTGCTAAAGTACTGTCCATGTGTTTGTGTTTACATCCATAGGTTAAATTATTGTAGCAGCCATTGTTTAGATGTTCTTGCTTCTTGCTGTTTCTGTTTTTACAGTAAATGGAATCCTACTGAAATGGGTCAACAGCCAATGGAAAACAGATGATGCAGAGACCTGAAAGTTCAGTGCCTTGCCATGATAGGAGGGAGATCATCCCACATCTATCACCTCCTCCAAGGCTCAGAAACTTTTTTGGAAGAGGTTGGTGGAAAGAATGTAAGAGCTGGAGGAAGGGGTGGAGTGTTAACTGGAAATGTACTCAGACCACTATGCTGGCAAACTATAGTCACATCTCTTTCTCACACTCATCAAGGAGTTGAAGGGAGAGTCAGGTACCCCTCCCACCCAATCAGTCGGCCTTAGCTGTGAAGCGGGAGGCTAAGGATATAAGCCCAGAATGCCAGGAGGCACCTCTCTCACCATTTTCTGTGGCTGTTGGGAAGTCACAGGATCTGTATTTGAGTGTGGACTTTCCAGTGCAGCTGTAAACGGGGGGGGGCACTCTTCTGTAAATAACCCTCCACCCTATGCTCTGTTAAGAAAAAGTGATAAGTGTTTGGATAGATAGATGAGAGGGATCTGACTAAACAGCAAGTGGATGGACTTTCACTGGGGAACGTCTGGGGATACTGACTTGATACAGTGGGCCTTAACACCCAGGACAGAGCATATGAGTTCCAGTTGGGGGGTATGGGAGGGTGCTGGTGGGGACAGGCTATAAAGATGTTTCAGATTGAGATATTCTGTGTGAAATGCAGCAAAATTTAATAAAAACAAATTTAAAAAAATTTGTTAAGTCCAAGCAATATCTAGGTCTCTTAAAGGCATTTTCTGTCATTTATGTGTTTTTCTCTGTATCATCATACTTTCTTACTTCTTTGCATAGTTCAAAATTTTCCCACCAGTTTGAAAAAAAAAAGGCAAATGTTTCAATGTATAGCTTTGATGACATTCTTTGGAGAATGAAGTCTTGGGCATATATAAAATTTTCCTAGATGTCAGGGATAACTGTGGTTTTAGCCAATAATCTTTGGTATATGCATGTGTGTGTGTTTGTGTGTGTGTGTGTGTGTGTGTGTGTGGTATATGCATGTGTGTGCATTCATGTATGTGGATGCACTTGCATGTGAAAGCCAGAGGTTGACATTGGGGTGCTTTTCCACATTACTTTATTCTTTCAGACAAGATCTCTCACTGAGCATGGAGCAGGCTGACTGGGCTAGGCTTGCTGTCTGGGTTGGGCTGGCTGCCTAGCAAGTCCCCTTGATCTTGTTCTCACCACCTAGCTCTGGGGTTACAGGTGTATGCTGCTACACCTGGAGTTTTCCATGGGTGATACAGACCTGAACTTGGGTTTTCATGCTTGTGGAGCAAGCACTTTGCCCACTCTCTCACTGAGCATGGAGCAGGCTGACTGGGCTAGGCTTGCTGTCTGGGTTGGGCTGGCTGCCTAGCAAGTCCCCTTGATCTTGTTCTCACCACCTAGCTCTGGGGTTACAGGTGTATGCTGCTACACCTGGAGTTTTCCATGGGTGATACGGACTTGAACTTGGGTTTTCATGCTTGTGGAGCAAGCACTTTGCCCACTGAGCCATCTCATTAGCCCCTAGCCAGCATCCTTTTGCTATCTCCTTTGTTGATCTTTTAGTTAAACTTCTGGTTAGTCTCCTGCTTCTCATATCACATCCAGCTCTCTAACTTGCTGATTGATTGTGCTATTCTTCTTAAAAATCTTCTGATAAGTGTTTCTATCTACTTGAAGCCAGGTCCTGTGGCAAAGACAGAAAAATGCCTCTCTCTGAGATTGTCTTTTGCCTTTACCTGGTTGAAGCTCTGTGCTAAGGAGCAGGAGAAGAGGGTACTCATTCTTAGTGACTACTTCACTAATTCACCCTATCAATCAGGTGTGAAAGTTAGAAGAGGATGACAGGAACCAGAGGTAGCATCCAACTACTCCCCACTGCATGGATTTCCACAACTTACTGCCTGGGCAGTAAGATCTATTGATATTACCTCTCTGGTAAGTCTACATAAAATTGAACTTCTGTCTTACGAAACTTGAAGATATGGGACCTTGTATTTGACTGATAAAGACACCAGACCAGTTCTTTTCTAACAAAGAGCTCCTCTCCAGATCTTTCTGACCTTTGTGATAGTTGGCAGCAGAGGAATAAACCATGTTTGGATGAGGCTATTTGTTCCATATATGGAATTCCATATAGGTCTTCTTTTGCATGGAGCTGCTGAAACTGGGGCCTGACAAGGTTTCCCTGTTGCTAACCTGCAAAACATAGCTTTTCTACCCCCAGGAGCTGAGGGAAGGTGGGAATTGCCACTTGGTAATTCACACCCACCGAAGTAGCTGTCACATAGGCACAGTGTAGTATGGAGACCTAAATGTCACTGTCTCTCAATTCTTGTGGAATTTCTCTAAATTTTGTTGAATAAATCTTCTTAACTGTGGCATGTCCTTTGATCAGTTCCCAGAGATTATAAATGATTGTCCTTGCTAACTTTCACCAGCTTAAGTGGATGCCCTTTGGGTAGAAACTTCTCCTCTATATATTCCAACAAACATTTTGGAAGTTTTTACCTAATTGTGTAGCTTAACTGAACTCTAAATATCCCCATGTTCTTTTTCTTGGCTGTCTTTACTCCAATATAGAAGAATAATGTCCTTTGCATCACATCAGTTAATTTTCTAGCAGCGATGACTACATGATTCTTCATATTAAGTTTACAGTTTTCAATATATTGTACAGTGCCCTTGTGTAAAAGTCCTAGTGTTTCATTACTATTCTGTGTCAAATTATTCTAGATAAATTTAATCTTTATATAACAATCACTTTTCAACAATTACATGTATATTAACCAATCTTACAAAATAAATTATCTTTGGGGATTTTATGCTTTAATAGTCTGCATAGAAAGGAAATTAATTTCTCAGTACTATAATGCTATTTTAATGAATTCTTATTACCAGTGTTTGCTGTTCTTGATATTCTGATTATCATTTCAGGTATAAATTTTAAGCATTTCATAAACTTCATAAGTATGTTATCTTTAAATACATTTATTAATTTAATATACATTAATAATTTTAATTTTACTATATTAGAAATTAAAATGATTCTTTTGTTTTACTCATGCTCAGATTTCAGTGACGTATACTGGAAGATTTCCGTAAGACTGAGGACTGCAGAAAGAGTTTACTTACCTGGTTGTGCAGCCTTCAAACTTTCCAGTTTGGAAGAAATATGGGCAAATGATGGTGGTTTTAACTTGACTTTTCTTTAGCACAGTTAATTCAAGGAAGAGACTCAGCAAGGCCAATGGCTGCAAATTTGCTTGAAGAATAATCTGAAACAAAGCAAGGAGGTAACAGTTCGGAGCTTAAGAAGTTAATTCTCGGAATTATTTAAAAAAATGAAATTCCTGCAGGGTGTGGTGGTGTACTCCTTTAATCCCAGCACTTGGGAGGCAGAGGCAGGTGGATCTCTGAGATAAGGGTCAGGAGGAGAGAAAGAATCTCCCTTTCCATTCTCTGGCTTGTCTTTAGGACAGAGCATCACTTTAAATTCATTTATGTGGAGAAATACTCTACTGTGTCTCCATACTTTATTGCCAACAAAAAGATGGAAGTAGTTTCAATTTATATTTACCCAGGAAGACCAATAAACCAATAGGTACTTGCATGTTCTTCTGTATTTTTTTTTTAAGGAGAGTAATTTTCCATGCTGCCATTGTATGTAGGGGAAAGGAGGGGAATGCTTCTCTTATTATGAATGGGACAGAATGTTCAAGATTTGCTTTGGTGCAGGAAGATCTTCTCTGTATCCTGGAAGAGTCTTAATTTCTGGGGAATAGGAAGGTGCATGGTGGATGGAAATACTTACCTGTGAGTTCACTAATAACTAATCCTGCCAAACTTGAAATGCAGACTAGATGACCATGGTTTGCTTTAATCATGGCAGGAAGGAAGGCCTTGCAAATCTGGAAGATATAAATACCCTGTACCATTAATAGATTCCTTACTTACTCTTGTTAATTTGTAAGCATTTTTACTAATTCACTCAGAGAATATTTAATGTTCATGATGTGTTAAATTCAATGGCAATACAAAAATAGGAGCTATATAGTCACTCTTCTCAAGGAGCTTAAAGTTTATTATGTTTAGGGAAAAATGACAAGAAAAATGTTCATGAATCTTCATTACGGATGTAATTTCTTTTTAAAATATTTTCAATTTGCACTTGATTGTAGATATGAAGGACAGACTGTAAATGGCTGGATTATGCAATCAGGGAGGGACGTTTAATGTAGTTGATGTTTTGTTTTCTGATGGGTATTTTAGTAGCTAAATTAGGAAGCACTTTGTATTTATTCTTGATTTATTTCTTTAAAAAATACATTATGTATATTCATTTTGCATAGTATTGTATTACATAAGAACATTTTATACAAATATATAATGTAAGTGAAATAAATTTTCTGGGTTTATTTCCAATCCTCTAATGAACATAGATACAAAAATTCCCAATAAAATACAAACTGAATGCAAGAACAAATCAAATTACCCACCATGGTGGAGTTGGCTTCATCCCAGACATGCAGAGATGGTTCAACAGGAGTAAATCAATAAATGTAATCCAATCCACCATACAAATAGACTTAAGGACAGAAACTCCATGGTCATCTCATTAGATGCAGAAAAGGCCTTTGTCAAAATCCAACATTCATTCATAATAAAAGTCATAGAGACTCTAGGTATACAGGGGATATATCTCAACAGAATAAAGGTAATGCACAACAAGCCCACAGCCTACATCATGCTAAATGGAGAAAAAAAAATCAAAGAATTTCCATTTAAATAAGGAACAAGACAAGATTTTCATTTTCTTCATTCTTGTTCAGTATATTATTTGAAGTCTTAGCTCAAAGCATAAGACAAATGAAAGAGAAAAAGGGGATACAAATTGGAAAGAACCAAAGTATCTTATTTTCAGCTGATATGAGTCTATATATAAAAGATCCTACAGACTCCACCAGAAAACTCCTAGAGCTGATAAATACATTTGACAATATAGCAGGATATAAAATTAACAACCCCAAATCAGTAGCCTTTCTTTATTTAAACAACAAACATACTCCAGGAAGAAATCAGGGAAATGATCTCATTCATGATAGTCTTAAAAAACCATAAAATATCTTGGAATAAATCTAAGCAAGAAAGTGAAGGACTTATACAATAAAAACTTTACAATAAGGACACTGAAGAAAGAAATTAAAGAAAATACCAGGAGATGGAAAGACCTCCCATGCTTATAGATTAGTAGAATTAATGTGATAAAAATGACCATCCTTCCAAAATCAGTCTACAAATTCATTGAAATAACCATTAAAATTCCAACACAATTCTTTATATAAATTCAAAAACCCCTCAAATTTCATGTGGAAACACAAAAATCCAAAAATAGCTAAAATAATCTGGAACAATAAAAGACCTGCCAGAGGCATTGCCATCCCTGATCTCAAATTGTACTGTAGAGTTATAGTAATAAAATCAGCATGGTACAAGCATAAAAACAGACACATTAATCAGTGGAATAAAATTGAGGACCTAGGTTTAGATACCAGCATTTACAACCACCTGAATTTTAGCAAAGAATCCACAAATATACACTGGAGAAAAGACAGTATGTTTCAACAAGGTGCTGGTTAAACTGGATAGTGGCATGTAGAAGAATGAAACTAGATCCCTATCTCTTACCATGCATAAAAGTCAACTCCAAATGGATAAAAGATCCTTACATAAGACCTGATATATTGAATTAGAGGAAAAAGTAGAGAATGCATTGTAACTTATAGGCACAGGAAAGGACTTTCTAAACAGGATTCATACAGCAAGTCCAACAATTGAGAAATGGGACCTCATGAAATTGAAAAAACAAAGGACACCATATTTTGAGTTAAGAGGCAGTCTACAGAATGAGGAAAAAAGATCTTTCCAGCTATACCTCTGACAGAGGGTAGTATCTAGAATATATAAATAACTCATACAAGTGCTGGATTGGATAGGATTTAATATATATGACAGAATATCTGAAATCTGGTGGGGGAGGCTATGGGGATCAGGAAGAGTGAGGCATCTAAATTTCATTAAGATGCATTAAAAACAATCAACCCAATTAAAAATTAGGAGTAGGAAATGAATAGGGAGTTATCTAAAGATGAATCATAAATGGCTGAGAAATATTTTAAAAATTTCAACATCTTTAGTCATTAGGGAAATGCAAATTAAAATCACTTTGAGATTTTTATCTTACCCCTCCCAGAATGAACAAGATCCAAAAATCAAACAATGACAAATACTGGTGAGGATGTAGGGATAGGAGTACTACTCTTATCCACTAGTGGGCTGGTGGGAGTGTAAGCTGATGCAGTCCACTAAGCTGGAAATTAGTTTGGAGATGCTTCAAACAGATAGAAATTGATCTACCATACAATCCAGCCATACCAATTTTGGGTATATTCTAAAATGACTCTATACCATAGTACAGGAATACCTGCTAATCCATGTTTATTGCTTCCCTTTTTATAAAGGCTAGGAATTGGAATTCACTTACATCTCCAGCAGGGGATGAATGGATAATGAAAGTGCAGTACATAAACAGAATGGAATATTATTCAGCTCTTAAAAAAACTAAATTATGGGGCTGGAGAGATTGTTCAGTGGTTAGGAGCTGGTTGCTCATGCAGAGCACCTGGGTCTGAGTCCCAGCATCCACATGGCAGCTAACTCTCTGTAACTCCTGTTCCAGGGTATCCAACATCCTCTTTTGACCTCCGAGGGCATTGCACATCATGGGTACTCTTACACATGCAGGCAAGATACTCAATACATAAAATAAAAATAATAAAAATATTAAAAAAAACTAAATGATGACATATACAGGTGAATACACTGCAAACAATCATCCTTAGTGAGGTAACCAAGGTCCAGAATGTCCCATGCTTTCCCTCATTGCTGGGTGCTAGCTTTGAAATTGTAGCTATACATGTTTCAATGTGAAATTCCTGAGAGGTCAAGAAATAATCAGCTTTGGGGGCGGGAGCTATCTGGAAAGAGGGGTAGAATGTGGTGATATAAAAGGTGGAAAGGAAGATAATAGAGTAGGTAAAGTTAAACTGAGTGGGGCATGGGAGGGAAGGACAGAGGAGAGACTATGGAGAGGGATAACTAACACTAAAGTCCTTTAGAAAAAGTCATATAGAAACCTACTGCTCAGACACTCCTTAAATTATATACATATACATTATAAAGAGATTAAAAGGAGTTATAGTAAGGAGGCATTGTCCTTACTAGACTATAGGCTTAAAAGTCAGTGCTCAATGCCAGGAATGGACTACCTCTTTAAAAAAATAGTTTGTTTATTTCTTTTGGATAAGTAAAATATTACATATTTACTTTTTGTATTTTTATTTTATTTTTATTTTTTATTTTTTGAAGAAGAATTTCATTACAGCTTTATCATACTCAGAAACAATTTCCGAAGCAAAGATACATCTCTTTCAAAAGTGGCTATAAATTTTTTAGGTTCACAGTTGAATTAATACAGTTACAATATTGAAGTCAGTATAAATCCTGTAAGACATAAAGTTGAATGAGTTTTAACCTTTAAAAAAATCTCCATTTCATTTTAAAATATATTGTTTCTTACAGAAAGGCTCATTGTTTTTGCTAATAACACTTAGATGTTGGTGCATGGTTCTCTAATCTGTATGTATCTGATTATTACTAGTCATGGTCTGCTGCACTCAGATCTTTGGCACCTATGTATGGATATAAAGTCATCGGGTAGATTTCAGTGGCAATGTTTATCACCTCTACTACTTAACATGACATACATTTTTATGCTTCCCTGTCAGGAGACATGCTTGGCATTGGAAATTAGAAGAGTGCCACTTTAAGAGCTTCTGAGCTCTCTGCTTCAGCGGTCAGAGCTGACAGGCTGTACCTGTATGATAAATTAGATCTTCTGGAAGATGCAGCTATGTGCTATATCCATAGTAACCCTTTTGTTTCTGTTAGTAAAACTCACCTAGGTAACCCCAACTCCAAGTCAGACAAAAAGGACCTGGGGGACCCCACAGTTCAATTCCTTCTGGAGATCTCTCTTTGACCTGTACCTGCCTTCCTTTGAATAAATTCCTCACATAACTTCAGACTTTTGCCTGAGTGTCCTTCTTGTTGAAGACCCAAGCCTGGTGGGCTTGGGGGGTGTTTGACAATTGGTGCCCAATGTGGGGCTTGAAGACCCCCGGCACCAGGCTGTCTGAACCTTTTCCCTCCTTTCCTTCAGTATGTTTTATAGTTATAGGTTGCAAGTTCCAGGGTTTGGTTTATGGGCTCTTGGTATGAGATTTTTAGATTTTAGAGTAGGGGACAGAGTCAGGAAAAAAGTAAAAATGGCATCTCAGACAGGAGAAGCAGTTTCACTTGACTTCTGGGCTGCTTGGACATTTGTTAGAGTGTTTGCTGAATACTGTCCAAGGAGCTTGTTTCCAAGCCAGTTTTTTCATACATCTAGAAAGACGATTAATCTTTATGAAATTCATGAGGAGGTGAGGAGTAACGTCTTAGAGCAAGTTTGCAGAGTTTTTTATTCAGAGTTTCCTCCTCCTTACCCAGTTCCCGGCTAGTTCTCACAAACATCTGTTCTCAAGAATTTTCCAGGTTCAGACTGACCCTCTGACTTTGTGAAAGGCATTGAGAATAGCCCGCATGTTTTAGTGTCTTGACATGCAGGATTTTCTTTGGCTAAAAAGGCTTCCACCTCAGGGGTCAGTCTCCTTGGGTCCCTGAAAGGGTGACCTAATCCAGATTAATAATACGAGAAACCTGTGGAAACAGGCGTAGGAATTACAATTCCGCTGTGATTAATCTAATGGGGAACAGTTTGAGGGCTGTTCAGGATGCTGACCAGGGCCAT